TAGTTTAAATCCAGGCTCCTCCAGTCTGCAAAGTGTCCACAGGCAAGATAATGAACCCCAAATTGTTTCTAGTCCATCTAAATTCAAATACCAGGTTTTTTATTAAAGTCCAGGTACACACAAAGGCTTCAGTAGAAACTGCATAAGAGTCATGTGTTTAAACATGCTAAGATGTAAAGGTGATCTTAAGTACAGCAGTAGTTCAAAGGTTAAACTCAGCATCTGTACTGCTGTATGATTTGTTGCTATTATCCCTGTGTGCCACCAGTGCAAAGTTACTGAAGTACATAGTTTTTGTACTATGTAAGAAGTAAAGATTATTTTTGCTTAGTCTTATGCACATAGAGCTTACACTTCTCGTTTCTCGTGCCAGGCCACGCTATAATCCCCAAGTACTACTATGTACCGGCTGACTTTGTGGAGGCGGAGCAGAACAAGCATGGGAGCCAGAAGCGTTTCCCTAGCAACTCTGGCCGTGATGGGAAAGTCTTCCTGTGGGGTCAGGCCCTGTACAACATTGCCAAGCTACTGGGTATGTCTGTGCGTCTGTGTGCTCATTCACTGTGCTCTGACATTAATCTGCAAGTTCACGATTAACTTAAAACTAATGTTTTCAATAGTTTTTCATTATGAATTATTTTTTGTAACTGTAGCTTAATACGTGTCTCACAATAATCCAACGACCAAGTGTTTATGTGGGGTTTGTTTTCATTAAGTCTTTATGCGTTTACACTTAGTTACTTGTCAATAGTCGTGCGTCAGTATCCCACAGTATTCCCTACATTTTAATGGTATTCATATCTACCTTTTGTGGTATGTTTGTGTACATTCACTTTTCAGTGGATGAGCTGATCAGTCCCAAAGATATTGATCCAATTCATCGCTATGTGCCACGACAGGACCAGCGCAATGTCAGTATGCGGTACTCCAACCAGGTAAGCTCTGATGTAACTCTATCTGACGATCATCTGTCATCTACAGGCGTTTATTATCAGTACAACATCGGATTCAAGTGCTGAAGTGTTGTAAACTTATACTACCCCCCTGTAAATATGGCTGAAATCAAAGCATTTAAGAGCTTTTAGCCTATGAAGTAATTGCATCTTACACATGATGACAATCATAATTGTTAGTTTATTCTAGATGTCAAGTAGCTGTAAGTGGAATTTTGCTGTAGATGCAGAAAGTGGGCAGCAAGTGGATTGCTCACTCTGCATTAAAAAAAAGAAAGAAAGAAAAGGACTTCTATATTTGTAATTTCTATCAACTGGGAGGGGAGTAAAAGGAGTGGAAATGTTAGCAGTTGTAATGAAAAATCAAAAGCTGATTGCTGATTGGAATACACTATATATAATAATAAGAATGTCTCCAGTGGTGATGGTGTTCTCTGCTAGCAGCTTCTCCTCTTGTTTAAAAGTCTACATTTATTCAAATTTAAAACAGATATTTCGATTTTATGATTCTTATCAGGCTTATATCTGGATTCTTTATATAAGCTGCTCCAGGGTTATTCCTGGCATTTTAGATCAACAAACACCTGCATCAGAGGTACATAAACAAAAAGGTGGTAGGTGGGTGGAGGTGGTATTTAAAAAGGCGAGGTCCTCACTAAAGCCACTCTTGTTCCATGCCCACGTATTCACTTTTCAAATCTGGCTGGATTTATATATTCTTTTCCAAAACAATGACAATTGATGACACTGAACAAAACTATTGGGTGTAACTCAGACTAGCTAGAAACACAGTTCTTCACCGCACAGTGTTTAGAGTCTTTTTTTGACATGTTTCAAAATGCAGATATACTGTTCGTGCTCTGGAGTTTGCCTAGTCACATGTGTTATTGAAAACGAGATATCTAAACTGAGCCACACTGTTTCAGTATCAGCGATCTTAGAAATAACCAGGAAATTGTGGGAGAACCATAACTTATCAGAGTTCT